AGTCTGACATGCTATGAAGGATACGCGAAAGTTTGTGCACCACCACAGAAAATGCCTTTTTCTTCATGCAAGCAAAATGCACTTCAGCAAGTGATGGTTGTTGGAGAGAGGCCTCGGTAGAAGATCTTAATGTATGGGCAGTAATTCCAATTGTTATGAAACACCAGCAGGGAAGAGCTATTGCTACCACACTCTGCTTCCAAACTTGCTGGTTGCATCTGGCTTGCCACAGTTGGAACCTAGATGCAAGGCTTGATGGATTTGGGGACGTAATCCAGCAGGGCTCTTATGTATTCAATGCAAAATACCATATATGTGCATGAAAAACGACAACCACTGCTGGTGCACATAACATCACGTGTAATGGCCTTAGCATGATACCCCATGACCTGCTTTTGCTTCTGCACAGTGTATCAAGTGACTAAAATCTGAGTACAGCAGCAACATCTCATGTCTTCATGCCCTTATTATTTGGATTTCACATACCTTGTGGCTTTGCGTTAAGTGGCAAGGGATTCGAGCTTTCGCAGCATAGCAAAGCTATTTGTTCAAGCTTGCAGGCATTGGATTCCCTTGCTGTTTTCTGCAAGCAGAGATGCAGGGAAGTGGTGCCTGGGTGTGGTTATCTCTGCTGAAGAAAGTGGCGAGTGATCCTGCTGCTAAGATAGCTCAGTGTATCTAGAATTTGGGAGTTTTAATTTCTAGAGGGCAAGCAAGGAACTACATCAGGGTTGGGGAACCTGCGGATTTCCAGATATTGATGGACTACAACTCCTATCAGTCTCAGCCAGTGTGGCCAATAATAACGTAAGCATATGAGAAGAGCCCTGCTGGATCAGACCAATGGCCCTTCCAGTCCAGCAGTGTGTGTGTGTAGCTTTCTGCATTTTTATATAGCTTTTTGTGGCTGGTTGTCTTTAAAAAAAATCCTCTCCCGTTGCACTCACTAGGATGGAAATAAATCTTGGCAGCTCTGAGACTGGTGGAAGAACACAAGAAGAGCCTGCTGGATCACGCCAATGACCCATCTAGTACAGGATCTTGTTCTCATGGTTGCCCATCAGATGCCTAGGGGAAGCTCAAAAGCAGGATGTGAGTGCAACAACAACTCTCCCTATTTGGGATTCCCAGCAAATGGGATTCAGAGGCATACTGCCTCCAACAGCTGAAACAGAAGATAGCCACTGTGGCTAGGATAGCATAATCCTCCTTTAAAGCCACCCAAGTTGGTGGCCATCACTACTTTGAAGTTGGGGTGAGCAAATTCCATAGTTTAACTCAAGACTTCACTTGATGTCCATGAGTTCTAGCGCTGTGAGAAAGAGGAAAATAACGGTTTCTCTACCCACTTTCTCCATACCATGCAAAATTTTATAGACTTCTATCATGTCACCTCTGACTTTCCCTTTCTCTCAACTTAAAAAGCCCCCCAATGGGTGGTGGGGCAGGACCAACGGTGGTGATGAAGTCAAAGCTATGGGTGATACGAAGAAGGCTTTCCTGAAGGAACCAGGCTGATTTTGACTACTCATCTAGAAAATGACACTGGTAAAAAGAAAAGTTCCTTGTTGATCTTTGATCGCAGGTGGCATTGCAATACCTTGGAGACAAGATAGAGAAAAGAAGACACAAGTGGTGTGTGTGTGTGTGTGTGTGTGTGTGTGTGTGAAAGAGTTTTCTTTATTAGGGGTAGATTTCCTCCTGTGCCTGCAGTTTGAGAAAGTGCTATCTGACACTGGGTTATGGATTGACAGAGCTGTGTTGTATTAAAGAACTAATAAATACAGACCCTCGGGTAAGAGTGCCACTATTATTAAAGTACACAGAGCTAGGCTCTGCACCTACCAAACTCCTTGACACTCTCTCTCTCTCTCTCTCTCTCTCTCTCTCTCTCTCTCCCTGTGTGGGTGGGTGTTGGACTTGCAAGACCTTATTACTCTTACTCTTTTAGGCCTCTTGAGATGCTCCACCAGGAACCAAAAATCTCCCTAGCAATTCTGCTCAGAAATGCATGCCATATGTGTGTGTGTATTTATATATAATATTCACACTATGGATATGTTATATCATATTAAAGCACTATGAGGCTATGATACAATCATGTATTGATTATGAGTGCTGTTCTTCCTTTACTTGGTGCCATTTATTTTCATTTGATAACAGGTATTTTAGTTTTTATAACAGTGGTACCTTGGGTTAAGAACTTAATTTGCTCTGGAGGTCCATTCTTAATCCGAAACTGTTCTTAACCTGAAGCACCACTTTAGCTAATGGGGCCTCCCACTGCCGCCACGCTGCTGCTGCGCAACTTCTGTTCTCATCCTGAAGCAAAGTTCTTAACCCGAGGTACTATTTCTGGGTTAGCGGAGTTTGTAACCTGAAGCATCTGTAACCCGAGGTATCACTGTATAGTGGGATCTCTCAGTGGGGTGGGGTGCTTGTTTTCTTATTTCTAAGCCACTTTGAGCAACTCCTTTGAAGAAGGAAAGAGCAGTGTCCCCCTTGCAACGTCCCCACAGGAGTCTGGTTGGCCAACTGTGAGAACAGGATGCTGGACTAAATGGGCTCTTCTTACATTCTTAGAATGTGAACTCTGCAATCCTATGGTCCTTGAGCTGATGTCCCAAAGGCCCATAGGAAGTCTGACCTCAGAGAGGGAGATCCAAGACTTGCTTGCCCCTTTCTTGCTGCCACAGAAATCTCTCTGACTTTTGCCCGACAGACATTGGAGCTCCTCTGACATTGGTATGGGAGAAACTGGGGTGTGCCAAGGCAGATCAGGGAAAAGCATGGATATGAAGGCTTTCAAAAGAGAATTGTGCAAATTTGTGACTACGGCTATGCTCTGCCTCCATGCTTGGAGGCAGCAATGCTTCTGAAACCAGGTAGCTGGAAGCCAAAGGAAGGGAGAGTGCTATTGTGCTCGAATCCTGCCTGCAGGTTTCCCACAGGCATCTGGTCAGCCGCCATGGGAACAGGATGCTGGACTAGATGGGCCATTGGCCTAAGTCAGTGGGCTCTTTGTATGTTCTTAAATCAGGAATGGTCTTCTCAAAGCTCTCCTTGTGTGTCTGCGCTTTGCTTGCATTCCTCTGATGTCTCACTCAAGCTGGAAGCGTTTGGTGGCACTTCTCACTTTCATATTGAGTAGAACAATTGCTTGTGTCTCCTTAAGACCCAGAGCTTTCTCCCTACGCAAGCCTTTAAGTGATCCACGCCTTCTGTTTCGATAAGCAACAAATGACTGGGATTATGATTATTAATACAAGCCACTCTGATAACGACATGCCTCATTTTTTTGTGTGGCGAGGCCCATTTGTCTGCATTATCTGAACAATAATATTATCAATTTGCCTCGCTTTGCCTGTGCTGGAGGAAGCGGGCGCTTCTAAAGGGGAGCTTAATTGATTGAGATTAGATGGGCTGTAGCAGCTGCGAAATGACAAAATGGAATCGGTTAAGTGACAGAGAAAATCAAAGTGGAAGTTGAAATGAGCAGAATAATTACTCAGGCCTGACTTCTGAAGAGAGAATGTTGATGCTGATAATAATGGAAATGCGTCTTCCTCTTGGAACCCGTGCAGCAGATGGTCTTGGTTAATACGAATCCAAAAGGCTTTGGGATGCTCTTGCAAAGTGAATAATCATGACGTTATTCTGCTGTCCAAGGGATGGGGAATCCCCAACCCAAAGTCCAAATGTGGCTGGCCACTGTGAGAATAGGATGTTGAATGGGATGGGCCATTGGCCTGATCCAGCAGGGCTCTGCTAAGAAGAAGAAGAGTTTGGACTTGAGATCCCACCTTTCACTCCCTTTAAGGAGTCTCAAAGCAGCTTTCCCTTCCTTCCCCACAACAAACACTCTGTGAGGTGAGTGAGGCTGGACACTTCCGAGAAGTGTGACTAGCCCAAGGTCACCCAGCAGCTGCATGTGGAGGAGCGGAGCCGCGAACCCGGTTCACCAGATTACGAGACTACCGCTCTTAACCACCACACCACGCATGCTTACATTCTTATAATTTTGCACTGTGACTTCATGGCCAGATATCTGAGGACATGTGGCTGCTTGATCATTTCCACACACCCCCACCCCCACTGAGGTTGGCCATCAGAATTGTGAAAAACATGCAAAACGTCCCTTACCCTCTTGAGCCTATCTTAAAATCGCCCACCACCTTGCTAATCAGACCATCTTTCATGCGGTGAAATCTTCCCAGCGTGGTCGCATTGACACCAACAACGTCCGCTGCTCTTTCACATTTCGCTAATGGAGCCTGTGCATGATCTGTAAGGCTATTATGCAATAATAAGCAATCTGTTTCCATAAATATGTCAGGCGATGCCACTAGGTGGGGTTTCAGTGGAACCAAGTGGAAGTGACATTCGCAGCCATAAAAATTGTTAGAACACTGAGTTGCAGTATTGTCATCCCGGATGATCTTATTCCCTGTCAGTTGCTCCAGAGGGAGAACGAGGAGCCATGTTGCCCAAAGCTGGGATGCGGCCTAGTGTCAGGACTGAGCCCTAAGTAGCAGTCTGAGATGAGCCAGAACTAAGGATGGAGGAGACATTGAATTCAGTGTGCACTTAAAGTCCAGCCTATTGTGCATAATTATAATTATTGGGTATCACTTGTCTTTTGTTAAGCATTTTTGTAACTTTTTTGTTGTTCTGTACACCACTTAGGTTTAGATGAGGCATAGGCAAACTCGGCCCTCCAGCTGTTTTGGGACTACAACTCCCATCATCCCTAGCTAACAGGACCAGTGGTCAGGGATGATGGGAATTGCAGTTCCAAAGCATCTGGAGGGCCGAGTTTGCCTATGCCTGGTTTAGATAGAGAGAGAGCAATTTAGAGATGGTCAAAATAAAGGAAGGAAAGATGCGATAGAAATATAAATCAAAATTTAAAATGTCATGTTCCATAGAATCATAGAATTGTAGAGTTGAAAGGGATCCAAGGGTCATCTAGTTCAATCTCCTGCAACGCAGGAATATTTTGCCCAACGTGGGGCTGGAACCCACAGCTCTGAGATCAAGAGTCTCATGCTCTGCTGACTGAGGTCTGATGCAGAAGAAAAGGTTAAGAAGAGGCATTTGTAATGCGAATGTGTATTCTGGCTAGAGATGGACAGAACTGTCTGGGGTTTTTTGGTCTCTGACAGTTTCACATGTGTTCATTCACAAATCCATCCCATCCCATCCCATTTCTGCACCAACCTGCAATAGCATGAAAACCTGCATTATTTTTGTATGTATCCCGCCCCCCCGGACGCATTTTTGTATGAATGACACATGAAAATATACATTTTTGAATGACTTTTAACCTAACGTATGCATCTTTATATGCATTTTGGTACCAAAAACTATTGCAAAGCCCAGAAAACTGTAAATAATGGGATACTAGATGGATTATAATTATAATCTGTGTATTACTCTGGGAAGTGTGAATCAGGGTAGTTCATACAAAATATGGATGGAACAAAATCCTCCGGCATCACTAATGTACGGTTGTTGTTTTTTAATGCTAGTTACAAAGCAAGAGAAAGAAAGGCTGCTTGAAGCCTCTGGTATACAAAACAGCCCTTGTCATTCGATTAGCTAAACCCCCAAAATGTGTCTGTTCATCATGGCTGATGGATTTTGCCTTGCTAGTGATCAAGTATAACTGTTTGCTAATATACTTGCTTCACACTTGACCGTGGAGTTGTCTGCAAGGAAGAAGCCCGTGCATCTATCATGGAGAGATTGCAAACTGATATGAAGTGTGCATCATCATCTCAGTCTCCCTCTTTTGGAGTTAAGTTTCTTGAACCAAGGGCACAGGCTGGCTGGCCACTGAGTCGTACGATAAAGCAAGTGGCAGTGAAGGAAATGAAAACCCTGGGAGTAGCAGATGATACGGGCAGGAGGTCCAGGCATTTTGCTCTACGCTATCCGGCTTGCTCCCCAGGCAACCAGAGATCACTTAAGCATGATTGTCTCAACCGTGCACCAGTTAAAACCAATGTTGCCAGGACCATCTGTTCAGGAACATGAGCTCATGGAACGGTGTGCCCAGCATTACGTCATTACGTTTGTCAGGTTCCCTTGGACCGCATTTTTATGACCTCTTGCCAGCACACTCTTAAAGGAGACACAAGGAACCATCAGTGCAGTGGGGAAAGTTACATTTACTCAATTGCAGCAACAGAGAAGATCTGCAAACAATCAAATAAACATCATTAGCCAAAACAAAATATAGTCTGAATGTGGGATCTGGCCCCTCCCCACTCCTGAGCATGTTTATTGGCTCCACCTGTGGCCCCACAGCAGAGGACTGGAAGGAATTATTCCCCCTTTCTACAAGAACCTTGGGGATGTGAACCTGCTAAGTGCCCCGTGGTCCCACGGGGTTGGCGTTCACCCTAGTGCACTGCCAAACTTCAAGGGAAGCCCAAAGGATCCAACATCAAGGCAGCGTAGGATGACTAAGGCTGTCCTTAACCTTGTAATGCCACAGGTTATTCACTCCACCACATCTTAACTTGTCTTTCCTGCCCAGAATGAAAGCCACTTAAACCAATCAAAAATGCCACCCGAAAGACAGGACTCCCAACACTAAGAAAGAAGAGTCTCAAGGCCATTCAAGGGCTCCCAAAAATATTCCTACAACAGGCAGTTAGCAAACCCCACTGCATAGGGAAGGAAGGTGCTGTCAAGAGAAGAGTGGAGTGTTAGGGATGGAGCCAGGTGATAAAGCCTGATCTCATCCCTCCCCAATTCTCCTGATGGCTCACCTGACCCTTCCCTGACTCTTTGCCAGGGAAAAACCATTCTGAGTCTTCTTTCAGGGGGAGTTGGGGTGTTGCAAATTCACCCCTACTCAAAGGTGGAAGCGTCATTTATTTAAGGGACTTACCTGTCTCCTGGTAAAGAATGGCGGCTAGGGATGGAGGAAGAATCTGTTTTAAAGGGGTTTGTAAAGGGAAATTAGGGCTTCTATTCCACTCAGGCTTTGCCTGCATCGGACTGGTTCTTGCACTGAGCACCAGCTTAAATCCGAACCATTCATGCATTGCCTTTTATTCAAAGCCTGATTAAACTATGCAAAACAATTACATATATTATGTATATATCACATGTATAATATGCATTAAAGAGTCAAGATTTTATTTTGTACTCGTTTCTGCCCCCACCCCCATAATTCCATTCCTTTTTCTAATCAGTTTACCAAAATAGAACACTGTATATATTTGTACATTTTTTCCTTATCTTTCCCCACTCTGTTATTTTCTTTGCAGATTACTTCTGAAAGCAATTAAAACAACATTTAATAAAAGAGTCAAGCCCCATGCGGCACTATATTTCTGCAGCATAGTTTTATAAGCATTAATGCATAAATGTTTTTATTCCATGAGATATACTGTTGGATGTATCTGCTTATGTGCTGCTTATTTAAGGGAACTTGGCATTTGTCTCCGTATAACAGGGGTGGGGAGCTTCTGGTCCTCCAGATGTTGGTGTGCTACAACTCTCAGCATCCCTGATCATTGGCCATGCCAGAGTCCAACAATCTCTGAAGGGATCCAAGTCTCCACCCCAACATATGCCATACCTTTAACAATGCTACAACCCAGTCTTGTTCCTGACCTGTCATTGCAAGTTCAGACCCCATGAGCATCTCTGTGAAATTAAAATGTTATTGTCCCAATGTGCATCACTTTACACTTGTCCACACTGAACTGCAGCTTCCAAGTCCAGCTTCCAAGCTTTTAAACTCGGCCATAGATCTATAAAAACTAAACCAATGTTATTTGTTTAAACCTAAGATACATTGACCTAGCATGGTATTTCCTTTCCAGTTGCACCTTTCAAACTACATTTTGCTACATCTTTTGGATCAAGAACTGCATGGCAACATTCTGAGAAGGGCAAAATCTGATGGGTGGCTCCATTCTGACTGGCACACGAGCCCGGGAGGTGCCCAGCAGGAGGGTTCATACTGGGACATCCGATGATCGCATTCTCAAGGACCTCCACCTCAGCACGCATCTCCCACCCACTGGGGTACATGTACATTTGCTGTTCGACAAAACCACCCTCTCATCCAAGTCACACCGTAACTCTTTGAGAAGCGGCCTTTGTAAGATCCTTGCTGACATAAAGGAAGGCAGCTTCCGCACATAAGTGGCATGGTGTTTACTTGTAACAAATCATCAGCTTCAGCCAAGCAAGCCGTAGTGCATTCCAAAGAAATCCCCCTTTTCTTTGATGCAAATGTAAGACAACGTTTTGGGTTTCTTTCTTCCTTTGTTTTTTAAGCCCACCATCTAGTGCTCAGTGTCTTCAAAGTACAAGCAAACACTCAACATATTGAATGCAACGTTTTATGTTGGTGTGGCAGCAGAGATTTTATTACACTTTCTCTTCCTGTCATAAAGACTTTAGGGCTCAAAGAAAGCATAGTCTTATGAAAGGAAGCAGCTTCCCTCTCCTCTCACTCGGCGATATTAACTTGAACCTCTTTGCTCATAGCCAATAGCTGTTGCATTCAGACAGCTTTGGATTCTGTTTCCCCAACATTTCCTTACCCAGTAATTTATGTGTTTCCCCTGATCTTTCATATAATATAAAAAAGTTAGTTCTGGAAAACTAGAGAATCTTGCAGAGGTTTAGCACTTGTTTCCATGCTTAATTGCTTCCTGAACAAAATCTGTTTGTGACCTTGTTAACCCAGAAGATTGCTGGAGTTTTGTGCTGCAGTGGTTTTCATGGATCATGCTACTGAATTTGAGAGGTCATGTGCCACACAACACCATGTGGTAATATGATTATTCAAGTGTGCTTCCACACTTGTAGGAGGAACCGTGCATGTTCTCACAAAAGTCTTCCACCTTCCCATCCTGTTTGTAGGCACAATTGATTTGCCCTTCCCCTCCAAGAATGTTAAAAAAAAAAAAGAGCAGTGAAGTTTCCTCACAGCACTATCCTGTACATGTCTACTCAGAAGTAAGCCCCATTGAATCTAGTAGGATTGACTCTCAGGTATGTGAATCTAGGATTTCAGGCTTTGGCTTAATGGAATTTCTTTCCAACAGACACCTATAGGATTGTGCTGTTGATGTGAAAAAGGGATTTATCATTCAATATGCAAGGGAGCAGGGTATTTCTCTTCCTTTTGCAACTGGAAGAAAATTTTCCAAAGATAGAAAACGGTGGGGGCTGGGGAGGATGTGTTCCATCAAGTTGTAGGAGGCACTCCATAATTGTTTGCTGACACAGCTCCCTATTCATAAAATATCATAAAGAGTAAATGAGTTGATAATGTAAATCAGTAATTAGGATTTGGTGCATGCTTATGCTATTTACATATTTTAATGCTTTGATATTAACATGTCAACTTTAATAGGATGTAAATGAATTCTCCTGGGTGTGATTTATCCTGTTAGGCATTAGACACTGTTCATTTGCTGCAACTGTAAATTTTACTTCTCTTCTCTGTCATTTTTAGCATAATCTTTCCGCAGAATCTTAGGAGAACATTTTCTCTAATGAAATGTTTTGGTTTCAATCAATTCTAGAATGGGAGAATGCTAATGGCCACATGACATAGCAGAGAAACAGACCCCCTGCCCCCTGTAAAAGATTCAACCCAGATCTCTTTGTTTATAGCAGTGATGGGGAACCTGCAGCCCTCTAGATATTGCTGGACTCCACATCCTGTCAGCCCTAGCCAGAATGGCCAATGGACAGGGATGATGGGAGTTGTAGTTCAGTAACATCTGGAGGGCAACATATGCCCCATCCATAGAGAAGAAGGCTATCAGTGTGGCTACTTGTCATGATGGCTATATATTATAGCACTTTAGCCCTGAATAGCCTTCACGAGGGCACTAGCATGGGAGAGGGTGCAATGGTCAGGGGGGAATCATTTACACAGCTTTCCTCCCTGTGCTGGTCTTCCACTCAAAGAGCTCAGCCTCTGTGGCTGCCTTTGTTTATTTTATTTTTTTATTTTTAATGAGCCAGGGGTGGCAGTATTTGCAATTCAGTGTCAGTGTTGCTTGGACCTACGTGATTTGGT